CCTTCAGTACATTTTGAAAAATTTCCCCTTACAAACTTATGAAACTATTTAAAGGTTATGGGTTATGCTGGAAACGCAAAAGATAGAATTTTGTATCTATTAATTCTATCTATTCTGAAAATTTCCAACAGTAACTACAAAACAAAACCTGTTTATATTAATTTTCTATCTTCTTATCTAATTATATATAAAAATTACTTTTTCCTTCTACAATGCGCTCATTTACTGCTCTCATCACTAAAGTTTAATTTATTTTATCAAATTATTCTAGAAATCTGAGTAATATTGATTCTGCTTGTTGTACTTTCATATAATGGACTACACCATATATTGCATCAAATGATTCCATCCAAGGTCCTCTTCTCAAAAGAAAGCGAGCATGAAGATAGAAATATAATTCCTCTAATGAGTAGATGTCATTTAAAAAATGCCTAAATTGTACTACTTCCCAAACCTTATCTAATCTAGGTACCATTAGATCTAGATAAAAAGTGTGCAATTACTCTTCTATCTTGACCTTAATTTATAGTTTATAAATTTACTCTTTTTGTATCTTCCGGGAATATTATGACTTGATGATTCTCAATTGTGAATGTACTTAACCAAGAAATTACATAACTTTAAAAAGAAATATATGTATTTTTTTGAAACTCAATGTACATACCATCTAAAATAGCTCTAAGTAGACCCATAAAGTTATTAGAGATTGGTCTTATTTATAAATATTAAGTTTCCTAATCAACAATTCTTTTTTCTAGAAATAGAGTGAAGGGTGGATAATTGTATCGTAATGTTTATAATTCTGCCTCTTCATCTCTGCCTACAACTAACCTTTTAACATCAACATATGCATCTACTAATTTTGAATCATACTCTTGAACATTCTTTAGAAAACTACTCATCATATACCTTTAAAATACATGATCTTCATCTAAAATCTTAGTAATTGCTTATAATTGTATCATATCTCCTTCAACTCTGCTTTAAAATGGGGCATCCACTTCTTTACTTCTTTTAACTGTCATTTCATCTATCCTATCTTATAGCATTCTAATTTTTTCAAAACTCTTTTGCATTTGTTTTCTTTCTGTTTGAGTATTTAATTTATTCATCTATAAATCCTCATATGTCATATAATAAAGTTCTCGATATTGATCCTTTTATTCTTTAGAGTACGAGGCTTAAAAAGTTAACTCTTTTAATTTTATTTCGTAATCTTAGATTTTATCTTCTAATTTCTTAAGTTAAATTTAATGTTTAAACTCAGTTGATTTGAGAGCTTATATTTATTGTGACAATTAAATCTATTTATTGTTATCATCATATAATTTATTTTGTTGTTCCTCAATAGTTTTATTTAGTTAATCAATTTTTTATTACAATTATGTGGCTAAACTATCTTTATTTTGGTTCATTAAAAACTATAAATTCTGATTCAAAAGTTCAACTTTCTTCTCAAGCTAAACGTTTATTACAGCCAATTCATTAGATCTCTAAAACGTTCTGGTCACATTTTTAGCATTTTAATTTTGACTTTCCATATATTTTATCATCTGTGATTAATCTTCAATCAACCTACTATTATTTGACACTTGCTCTCTGCTTTGCTTTAACGCAAATTAATATTCTTTTATTTCCTTTGTTTTCTCATCCAATATTTACAATAATTATTCGACTACTTTTATGAATTAATTCACTAATGAATTGACTTTTTCATTTTCGAACTACCCTGCTAATCCTATGAAATGATTTACTTTATCATTTACTTGAGGAACTTTTTATTGCACATCTCTTAATAATTATAGAATCCTTTATTATTCAAGTTCTTCAAATTACATAATTTTTTCTCTATGAATATAAACCATAGAAGCATCTAAATCAAATATAAACCGTTCTGAATTAATTAAAGGCTTCTATATTTAACTTCTAATAGTCTAAGGTAATTCTGTTGATTGTGTAACAATTTTATTATTATTGAGAGAATTAGTCAGTTTTTATATTACAACCTTTTACTGAGTGCTTGCACTGATTTTGTGAAGTTAAGGCTCGAACCTAGGTTTATTGACTTCTGGAAAATCAAAAGCTCCTGAATTATTTTATGAATATGACTTTTTCATAAAATTAATTTAATATCAATAAATAAATACTCATTAGGATTCCTAATCTATATTTAGAAACTTATTTTCTGCTGATTTTCAACATGGGTATTGGTAACTACACAGATGAATTTTTATTGATTGCTCTAATCTAATGGGAACTATAATTTTTCAAATATCTTATAATTATAGTATTCGAGTATCATCTAAATATTGCTTGGTTGGAATTAGATGCAGAAAGGCTCTGCATGATTAAAGTTGAAATTTTGTCTTTAAATTAAGAGGTTTTATCAATTGCGTTCTCGAGAAGCAGCAACTTCTAAAACTGCATTATAGAGTTTTTCTTTTTGTTTCCCTCGAAAATCTTGCTGATAACTCCACTAATGATTTTATATCTTGATTTTTAATATCCATCCTCATTAACCTTAAAAAAAATAAGAATTGAGATCCTATGTTTGCTTCAACAGCAGCCATATCTAATATATTTTCAAATTCTGATTTCTCTACTTATTATTTGCGATAATTTATTCTTTTTTTAAATGGATATTTTAGTAATTGGTTATTTTTTGCATCTTTTGTGAAGACAAATAGAAAAAAGGATCTCTTTAGGGATTATCTAAAAAAATCTCAAAATGTTAAGAAATTTTACTTAATCTATTTGATATGACCAATACTATAGTTTTCCTATTCCAAGAGATTGTTCTTTAGAAGTTTCTTCAATTCTTGATAATTCATTATGAAATTGGCAGATGTTCAAGTAATCTTACCTTTATTCATTTATGAATAATACCTTGAATAATACCTCATTTATTTAGGAATATGTCTAGAAATTGCAAAGCAGTAATTTAGACTAAATCAAAGATATATTTTTGGGCATTCTCAAGTTCACAGATCGACTTTTGAGAATCTGTACAAAATTTAAAGACAAACTATAATTTATTCATATTTATCATTAATATTTAATTTTGTTTCCATTTTTTATGTCCTCTATAGAAAAACAAAAGAATTCCTTATTATTCAGGATTATGGGCTTATCATTTTACTTATTAGGTTTGAATTATTGAGGTTTACTCAATTATTCATTTAATTAATTCCATTTCTTATACTTTTCTAACACTTTTCTATCCTAGTTTATGAGTTCTACAAAGTAATTATATAGCAATTTCCTAAAGATAAAATAATATTATACGAAGGATATAATTAAAGATATTTTAAATGAACGTCATCCCAAAATTATTGAATATTTTTTGATTGAATTTCTTAATCTTTTCCAGATTGTTTCATAATAATAACATTCGTAATTCTATTGATTTCGATTTTGATTGAATGGATACCATAACAAAAGGGACTTAAGAACCTAAAATTTATTTAGTAATTAACCTTCTCTCTACAACAATTAAATTGCAATTTTATTGAAGTGAAGCCTTTAAACTAAATTGTCCTTCATAAAGTGGAACACTTAAAAACTTGTAGTAAAATTAAGGGATCTAATTGTTTTATGTTTTAATAAAAAGGATTTTCAATATTGGATGACTAGTACCTGTTATTAAATGCCCAGGAATATCCTAATAATAATCTTCAATGGCCAGTTGAATAGCATGTGAATCATAATTGATTTGATATCGAATCTATTAATCATTTTTTTAATTAGAAACTATAAATTTTCTGATTAGAGCTGGAAAGATATATGGAAATTTGTATTTCAAAATGCTTTCTTAGAAGGTAGTTTTATGGTTTCCCTTTTATTGAGTATTTGAGTTACAGTAATAATAAAGTGTTTAAATATTAGAATTAACCAGTAATATGGTTTAGTCATCTTCAGGGATCATGCAATAAATGTTTTTTTGATCAAATTGGAACATCATAAATAAATAATAAACAGCCTTCTTTTAGGATAGACTAGGCAAAGTCACAATGGCAGTATAATGACCTTGTATTCCTAAACTAATCATGAAATTTCCACATTAATATTCATAAGGCTCTACTAATTCAAATAATGCTTTTTTATTGTATTCTAAAGAACTTTATAACATTGGATGATTAAGTCCAAAAAAGGATAAGATAGCATCATCCTTTGTTAAGTCTATACAATCAAAAGATTATTTTGTTTATTTGGTTTGTTATTAAGATTCTCTTTTTATTTTTGTTTTCTAAATTTTTGGTATTTTTTATCCTAGTTGGCTATTTCTTGTTGAATCCATTTTAGAATTCTCAATTTAATCAATATCGTGATGATGCCCTGCCTTCTCTCCAATACTGCCAGCATCTTGGTCTTCTTCTTGGCTACTGTCATTTATAGTGATCATTTCAGATGGCTATTTATCAAGGGACTCCTTTATGTTACTATTGAGATCCTTCTAAGGTAGAGGAATCGTTGTATAATGTCTATTGCCCAAATCTAAATTTTCACACTGTATTTAAAATTAATTATTAGGCGCTAGATTGATCTTTTAATTCTAATCTAAGATCTTATATTCTTCTTTGCTTTCTCTGCATTATCACAATATTTACTTAGTATGTTCATCACTAATCTGATGTTCTTCTTATAATCTAATTGGACTAGAATTGTGAGAAATATATTCTTTATTATCATTTTAGTAACAATTTCCTTCTTTTTGATATTTCTAATTTTAGGTTTGGTTATGTTAATTGTTCCTTTTGCTAGACTTACTGCGACTTCTGCTTCTACTTTTATTATCATTATAATTTTCTCGTTGCATTAAGAGAGAAATTAAGAAATTATTTAATTTAAACTGATCATATTGTCTCAATATTAAATAAGCAAATATCAACATATTCATATAATTACATTTTCTAAAAAAATAAAAGGATATCAATAAAAACCTCTTTATTTCCAAGATAATTATCTAATCCCATATCAGACCTGCTAATATAATAATTACAATGAAACAAGAAGTGACAATCAATTCTACCGCAGCTGTGACTCCCTTGACCCAAACATAACAAATCTCAGACAAAATTAGGAAATATAATTGCCTTTGGAAGCAAGAAGTTACTCTAAGTGATTGTGAAGAATAGCGTACTTAACCACGTTCTGATGATGAAAGAGAATACAACTCTTAAATAAATCTGGAAAGAACTTTCAAAATCACAGAAGCAGTAATACCAACATATTATGAAATTTTGTATTATTCATAGTACAATGTAAAGAAAGTAGTCTAACTCTAAACACCATAACATTTATACGATCACTTCTTCCCAACTTCTCTCATTGTCACTTTAACTGAGCTAGTTAATCAATATTTATTTTCAATTCTAGAAGAAGACTTAAAACAATAGCCTTCTAAAATTGCATCTCAATACAATAAAAAGAAATATAAAGAAACAGAAATCCAACTGTACTTTGGACTCCAAATATTATTCGGTATTTTTAGATTTCCGTATATTGATGATTATTGGAATGCAGAACCTTGGCTAAGATGCGGGATTGAACACATGATGCCAATTGGCAGATTTAAATTCCTAGACACTCACTTATTTATGTATCTTAACGAAAAAGCTAAATCTAAATTGTAAAATGAAGTACTATAGCTCCAGAAATCAGTAAAATCCATTTGCTAACCAGAGTAAGATTTGATTCTTATTGAGTAAATTTATAAGGCGTATACAGCATACTATCTCTTTGATTTCACACGACTAATCATTATAGATTTGATAGTAGTTTCTCATAGGATTCAATAAGAGGATAGGATTAATCGACTCATGAGAATGCTCTTTAAATACTCTAATCACAATCATATATTATACGTGATGTTTGAATTGAGCTTGGAAAGAATCATACAATTAACTGATTAAGAGATCTACCCTGTCATTGCTTATCAAAAAACATTACACCAAACAATTTAAAACCTATTGCCAGGTGAATATTAAATAGAATAATTATATTTAATCAAAAATCAATACTAAGTACATTTATTTCCTTAAAAACAATCAATCTCAAATCAAAGTTATCTTAAGGTCTATAAGGATGTTTAATAACAATACTACGAACACTCAATCTTGAATTTATTACAATATAGAAGCAATTTTTATCTATGCTCTTAATTAAACAGTGCTGAAGGATTTAATTAGTTAAGAATAGAATTTGAAGAATACTTTGAAGTTATGATTTATAACACTTCATTATTGATTGAAGACATTCTATAATCCAACTTTAGATTAAGTTTAGCTAAAATCTTTACACTAGAGAAAGCGTAACAAATAGAAAGTAATTTACAGAAAGCGAAAAAAAAAATGAATTCTACATTTTAAGAAAGTACTACCAATACACTACCATTAGAGTTTGGCCTAAGCTAATAATACTCTGAATCATATCATACTCCAATCCCTTAAAAATAAGAGGAATCATTTAAATATTGTGTTGTTTGTATGAAATTCAATTAATTAACAAAACCTTTTTATAGATGTAGACTATGTGAAAAACTATTCAACGAAAATAAATTATTTATTTGTGCGTTTCCATGCTTTGAATTATTTCATCGCAATCCCAGCTAATTTATTGAATGTGATAACAAAATATTAGAATAATTAAGCGATGGTGTGTATTTTTCAAATGACTTCAATTCATAAAATCTGTATCATTCTTAGGATGATGAATATGTTTAAAAGAGGAAGAAATAAGAAAAATAGAACCTTAGCAATTATTCATCCTATAATAAGGAAATCTATAGATAGTCTAATTTGGAGGATTTCTCAAATTATGAGATTTAAGAATTATCCAGGAAATATCAATCTATGATTCCTTCTCCTAATTTACTTCAACCAATAATTACTAAGGATTAATTTGTGTAACAATAAACTATTCTTGGACATAGAAATGATTTGAATGAAATAGAAAATAGGTTAGATGAATAAAAAAAAAAGTTTAAAATATAATTAATTAAATATCTAAATAGATAGAGCCAATAAATATCAAATAAGTAATCCGTATTTGATATGGAAGAAAGGAAAAAAAACAAAAAAATTCAAAAACAAATATAGAAGAACAAATAGTTAGAATTAAATGTTAAGACAATAAGTCCTTTAGAGAAGTTTATGGAAAATCTTAATAAATAACCCAAATTAGAAGATTAAGAATAATGATAATTAAGAATGGCCATATTTTTTTATGAATATTATTTAGAAGTAGTAATTTAATTGTTTATTAAATTTTATTAAGATAAATCATCTATTATAAAACAATCCTCCATAATTTCTGGCGTATCCATTTGTAGTACTTTTATTATGGTAATCATTCATCACATAATTACTTTTTTTAAATCCTTATTGGACTGCTATAGTTGGATCATGTTATTTAAGTAATCCTAATTCCTTCAGTTAATAAATGTTCTTTTCCAAAAGTTTATTTCTTAATATCAAATTCGCGTCCTCAAGAATTGAATCCAAAATATCGCCTTGCTTTCGTTTCAATTAACGAGTGCTAGTTTCACTATCAACCTACAATGTTTATTTAAGTTTTTTAATGGCAGGATCCGAAGTGACCATTGATTGTGATCTTCTATTACTAAGATCTAAATTTGGTATTTTCTCTTATGATGCTTGCATTTGGATTAATAAATTAAATAAAAATATTCATTGCAGTGATTAATTATAAATAAAAATAAAAACTTAAATAAACCTATTATTATTATAATAAAATCTAAGTCAATACTTAATTAATAAAAATCTTTTACAATATTTGGAATATGGTTAAAATTTTGAAGATGTGTATTATTTTATATTTTCAATTTTTGCCTTTGTTTTATAATCTCCCTATTACTTCTCTAAAGAATCTGCCTAGTTCTTAATCGCTTGGATTTTTAGGAACAAGTATAGTTTAACCAGTCAATGCAGGCCCTCTTCTACCATCTTCCCTATCATAATAATCATTCCCGTAATAATCATCTCTTCTTCCATAATAATCATCCCTTCTACCATAATAATCATCTGATCTTCCATAATCATCTCTTCTGCCATAATCGTCCCTTCTGCCATACTCTTCTCTTCTGCCATAATATTCATCTCTCCTTCCAGGGTAATCTCCTCTTTCTCTATAATCTCTTCTTCTATACCTATCATTTTTATCTTAATACTCTTCTTTTTAATGAAACGTTTGCTAATATTTTGTATCTTCATTATGAGAAGGCAATTAGGTTTAATATTATTATTATTATTACTACTATGACTAATTTTTTTATTATTTATTTTATCTTAAATTCTATTGAACCTTTTCAGTTGGTTTTACATTTTATTTTTTTTATACAGTTTTTTAGTTTTATTATTTTTTTTAAACTTTTTATTCAACTTTATGGATTTATTATTATTATTTTTTTTAATTTCCAGTGTTGTTGAAATGAATCTCCTCAACTTTTCTAGATTATTGTTGTTATTATTCTTATTAATACTATTCTTAGAATTGCTGTTATTACTCCATGTCCAACATTCGTTAATATTCCATAAATTACTCTTAAGACATTTCCATAGAGGGATCTTCATTAGGAAGAAACTAGTCTTAATTTTGGGGCATAAATTAGACTTAATCTTGAGGCATAAATTAATTTTGACTTTGAGGCATAAATTAACCTTAATTTTGAGGCATAAATTAAGCTTAGTTTTGAGGCCTAAATTAAGCTGAATTTTAATGCATATTTTATTCTTAATTATCAGGCATAAATTAGGCTTAATTTTCATAATCCATCATATACATTTGTTCATCTTCATCCAAATATTCCAAATCTTCGTCTGGATCCTCATTAGTTGAATATTCAAAATCATTTTACTAATCATAATCCTATTAGTGAGATTTCTAAAGCAGTTCAGTTGCTTACTTTACTAATTTGTGAATATCTTTATACTGAATAGGTTTCACATCAAAATTTTTGATATTACTTTCGCATCTTTATTCCACTATCATTAATTTATCATTGCTTACATTATTCAATTATGAAGATTTTTTGAATATGATGAATGAATTCTCTAAAAATCTATAGACATTCCATGTCTGTTAATTCATTTTATGATACAAATACTAAAACATAAGATCTTCCAATAATATTTTAAACTGAATGGGAGTCTATGAATAACATGAAATTACATACATATGTTATCATTTATATTATAATACACCTCTAATTGTTCATTCTATTCATTGATTATTAAGGAATTGATGCTTTAATTTTTATTAGTAATTCTCAAAAATGACCCAATATATCCCCCATGATTCATCTCTCTATTGTTTATTGTTGATGATATAAAATTAGTAAATTCGTTTTAAATTGTACTTAAGTCATCAAACAATTCTATGTAAGGAGCCTAAGATGATTCTCCATTGATTTTAAACGTTACTTATTAATCAAAATTTAAATTAAAATCAAATTAATGAAAATAATCATATGAAAGACTTTAACATTCTTTATTTGGTTTCTCGCAAATATTATTACGCTATTAAATTATCGTAACGCAATCTTGAAATACATGTTATATTAATTCTATTTAAGGAAATTTTGTAAAAGAAGAGGTAACAAAAGAAAACACAAAAACTTTTGAATCTGTCTTTCCTATAGTGACATAAGCCAAATTTTCATCTTCTTTATAATTGATGATGATTCCCTCGTCACTTTCAAAAATTAATATATGTATAAATCCTCTGTTTTCTTATTAAATCGTAATGATTAACCCACTTAGAGGGGATTCAACTGCATTTTAATGAGTTTCCATGTTTTTAATAGGCAACCTAATTTCTAATGTATCGCTTAAATTCTAAGCAACAAAAACTTATAATCCTGGGTAATTTTTTGTAAAGTATTGATTTGTAAGAGAACCATTGATGGTCTGATTTGCCAAATAATAATGTATTGGTGGATGATAGAGATCCGGAGTATGGAAAGTTAATTGATCAAAATTAACATCCAAATTACATTTTATTTAATCTAAAGAATTCGTTATAGTCTTTAATTCGCAATAATTAATGCCTTCTGATTAAGTAATGAATTAAATAAACCTTCTGAATATCATACCAACATCCCCCTATGATGACCAAGTAATAATATATATAAACCCAGGTTTGAGGTATTTATCAACTGCATCCGTTTTACCAAATGTAAATTCTCTAATCAGATTTTGTTTAGAAATTAACAAATGACCACCTTGATTTGCTTTATCTACATAATAACCATAATAATCATTATAGATTAGAACGTCAGCTTTAGTTTAATTTTGTTGTACCTTGAATTCCTAAATTTACAGCCATTATAGATCACTAGCATTTCCTGCAAATATATAGGCATCGGGGAAATTAATGAGAAAATATGAATTATTGTTCATCCCATGTGCTTATTAATAGTTCTATTAAACATCCAATGCAAAATGAGGAGATTTGCTTGTAAGGATGTATGGCATAGTACTCAAGTATAATAAATACAATTTACTTCTCATTCTGTTAGTCAAGTAAGAAATATGATTCTTGGGCATAATAGAGTCTCAATCCACATAAAAAATTGTCTGGCCCCAATGAATAAATAGTCTAGAATAATAAAATTATAAACATTATAATATAAATTTCAAGAGTTCAAGTTTTATGCCATGCATTTGTTTAAGTTAATTGATTATTATGCATTTTTAATATTAACTATAATTTTTGATATATAAGTCAATATTTATATGAAATTCATAATTAAATCATACTCTCCCAAATTTCATTTTAAAACGAAATCAAATTTGATTAATCAAAGATTCAATTCAAACACATTTCACTCATGTCAACTTCATTTGAATGAATATAGTGAAAATAAATGATCAAGTATGATAGATGCTGCATCTAAGAGACCAAATAGAAGTTAAAATAGAAGCTTACTGAATCTAAAAATAAATTATATATAATAGTAAATCAGGATGTATTTGAAACTAAAGTGATACCAATTGGTTGGGGTCCTCTTTTTAAAAATCTATTTCTTCTCATTCCAAAATCAAGATCAGGATTGATCTCTGGTGAAGCTCCTTTACAATAGTAGTCTTCTTCCTTCTTCTTAGGGTCTGTGCAAAATCTGATATTTTAGGCTCTGAGGTAATTGAGGATCATTCTGATTCGAGGATTAGGTTTGTGGTATAAATCCAATTCGAGGGAATCAAGACTTGAATTTAATTCTTCGGACATTTACTTATTTAATTATATATGAATTAATAGCATAAATGTTAATTAAAAACCTTGGGCTATGTCAGAAATTATCAAACAGAATTTGCTCCTAGTAACATTATCAACCATACTCTCTATCATAAGTATGCAGCTTCATAAAATTATTACTTCACAAGAGAAATCAATGATATTTTGGGTAAGAACAGAACACCTGCTACTATTTAATTTTATGTAAGCAATTAGTGATAAATTAAGGACGATACACAATTTTAAGAATTAGGAGAAAGAATGAAGAGATATTACTATATTAATGAATATATTGCTAAAATTAAATTACTAACAGAGTTCTACAAATATCATAACGATTTACCTCGGTTTACTGTTCACAAGAATTTGATACAAATATTGAATTTGTATTACGATAAAAAGCGAAAACTTGAATACTACAAAATATAAAGATAGATAGAATATGAGAATCGAAACAATCCAAATCAACCTCCAAAAGGTATCGTGGGGGATAAACCTATTGAAACCTAAACGACACCATAATCCGAAAGCAGTAATAATTCAACTATTAACAACAATGTTGAAAACATTCTTCAAGATATAAAATAATAAGAAGAGTAAAATTAAGCAAGCTAAGAAGAAATAAGTAAAATCTCGAAAATCCAAGAAGATTAGCAAAGTGAGATTATTCAAATGTTGAAAGCTCTCAATCCACAATAAATAAACAATCAGAAAAATGTTTAGAAGTATCAAGTATTTAAAAAGCAAAATCCTTTATTTAAAAAATCTCTAAAGTTAGACGAGTTTGCTTTGTCTCAATCATCAAGGACCTAGAGTAAATGTTGCAATGATATCAGAGTTCCTTTGTCAACTAGATTTACTACAGACTCTGTCAGTAAGGTACTAAAGACATCTTAAGAGAGAACTAAAGAAATTAATGTTCAAAAGGAAAGCTTGATTTCATTGTTTAATAAATATTCTAAATTAAGCAAAGCTAGAATTGAAAATAAAGTGGATTAAACCAAAGAAACCAAAAATTCAATACCTGAAATGAAACAGCTAGAGCTCAAAATAATGAAATCAATCAAGGATATGGAAAAGAACACCCCAAAATCATAAAGGAATAAATGTGTCTAAAATAACAAAGGATTGCAATAAATATTAAGTAAAGTTAATAAGGCAGATTCATTTAAAGAAATTAATAGGACTTCCTTGCTAAAGAGTTGTTCTAATCGATCAATTAAAGTGACTAACTAATTAGATTGTTATAAAATTCAAAAGAACTTTAACAGTGTTTTAAATCCCATCTCATATTCAAATAATCCATATGAATAAAAGAGAAGCAAAGATAAACAGTAATCTAAATTAAAGGCGAATGATCTAAAAAAGTTGATGATTTACAAATTAGAAAAGAATTCTAATAAAGAAAAAACTTAAAAAAATATTCCAAAATTAAACCTGCAAACAATTAATACTTTTAATAATCTTTAAACTAGCTTGACATTTAGAACTTAAACTAGTTCTGCTTAACAATTGACTCCAAAACCTTTAACAGTGAGATGCAGAATTAATAACTTAATTAATTGGTAAGTGAAAGCATTATAACAAAATGTTAATAATAACTCTTTATAAAAATGATAATAATTAATTTTTGTTCTTTATATAATGTAATCAATTTTAGTTACAGGAGGTTTGGGATATATCGGATCAATCACGATAACTGAATTGTATAAAGCTATTGGAAAATACTACAAAGTATATATAATGCTTAGTTTTAGATAATAATTTTGGATAATTTGAGTAATAGCAATATCTAAGTTTTGGATACTATTACTAGTATAATAGGCGAAAAGCTAGATTTGTACATTGTAGACATTCAGAATTAAACTGAATTGAAAGAAGTCTTTAAGAAATACAAAGAGACGAATCCAATAAATTATATTATTCACTTTGCAGCATTAAAGGCTGTCGGGGAATCTGTTGAAAACCCCATAAAATATTATTAAAATAACGTTGTCGGCACTTTGAATCTATTAAATTGCGCTGAAGAATATAAATGCTAGAATTTTTTATTCAGTTCTTCAGCAACAGTTTATGCTCCTGGTGAATTCGTAGATGAGGAGGCTCCATTTAAACCTTCAAATCCGTATGGTGAAACAAAAGTAGTAATTGAATATTTGATCAGATCCTTATCAAAGAAAGGAGGTAGGTATCTTTGTTTAAGATATTTTAATCCAGTTGGAGCAACCAAGGATGGTAAGCTTGGAGAGATGCCCAACAAACCCAACAATTTATTCCCATATATAGAATAAGTAGCTATAGGTAATCTTCAATAATTATATGTCTTTGGAAATGATTATAATACTCATGATGGTACAGGCATAAGAGATTATATTCATATCTTAGATTTAGCAGAGGCTCATGTAGTTGCATTACAGGAGTTGATAAAAAGAGATGAAAAGAAGGAAAACTACTATGATTATTTTAATATAGGAACAGGAAAAGGATTTAGTGTGTTAGATATTGTTAATGAATATTCAAAACTAGTGCCTATCAAATATCAGATTACAGATAAGAGAGCTGGAGATGTTGCCATACTGGTTGCAAATCCAAATAAAACAAAAGAAAAATTAGGATGGGTAGCTAAGAGAGGATTAACAGAAATGTGCCAAGATTCATATAACTTCATAAAATCAAAATAATGATGTATTAATTATATCATCTTCCCATCTTATTACCAGCTCCTTTTTCATTGTCATCTTTCCAATCATCCCAATTTCTATCTTTTAATGTTTACTAATCTGCCCAATAATCTTTATCATCATCCTTATCCTATTCTAATTTTTGCTATTCTTCTTGTGCTTTTTTCATTTTTGTTTCTTAATCTTTGGCAAACTAGACTCTATTAATAATAATACTTTCATTTCTGAGTCAGCAAATTCTTCTAATGTCATATTTGGAAGTCTGGATGCATTAGGTTACCAAACTTCGGCAACATGTTTCTGTCTGAGTTCTGCTTCAGTTTAGCAATGTTGACAGTGCGGATCAAAGAATTAGGGTTGCATAGTGGGTTTCTATAAGATAGTTAATATCATTTGTTACTGGAATATTCCAAACTTTCATTTTTGGGATTGGCTTTTCTTACTATTCTTGGTATTGCTATAGAAGTTCTTTATCTTTTCTCATTTGTGATTTAAACTTTAGTATTTCCAATTCCTATTAATTAGTATTCAATATATCAAGTGAAGATATAATTTTTTAATTTAATTGCAATTTTATAATTTCTCTCGATAATTTATCATCATCTTATTTTTATAAATTCTAAAGTGGTTATAACCAAAAATACCTATATTTGTTTATTCAAAATTTGTTGTTCCTTATAGTTGGCTATCTTATCATCTCTATTAATTTAAAAAGTATCATTTTCCACCATGGATTTAAATAATTTTATTTGATTCCCTTTTAGGATTTCGTAATGTTTTAATAGTTTTAAAAATTCTTTCACATAATAATTAGATGTCTCGACATTTTTTTACCGAATATCCTCATTTTACACTTATGTTAATGCCCAACCAACATAATAGGGCAATAAAAAAAATTTGAGATGCTCTGTTTTTATTTCATTGAATTCCTCATTTGGAGAAAAAATGTGGAGTTTAATAATTGCCTATTGGGTTAATTAGAATTTCTCAATTAGCTCCATCAATTTGTCATCACCAGGATTTTAGTCCTCAAAATTATTTACTTATTTAAGCAATGTATCAAATTATTTAAGAATTTCTTCCTCACTATTCATTAATAATAATAAATATATATGATTGATTAAGTTGAAAGATATAAAAGAAAATTTATATTCAATTTTTATCAGAATTTCTTGGACTTCTGATTAATAATTATGTTAAAGGAATTCCTGATAAAAATCAGTTAAGATATAAGGAGGATAGAAAATAAAATTATATAACATATAGTAATATATATTTGATTAAACAAAGATCAAAATAGCTTGATTTGATTTTTTATCAATAAATTTAAAATTAGGCATTAGTTTATGTAACCTTAATAAATTTAAGAATAATTTTTATTTCTATCATATATATAGTTAGTAGAATAAAATTTATTTAATAAGAGTATTATGAGTTCTCCAAATTCATAGAAAAATTAAAATATATCTAAAAGTGTTTGAAATAGATTTATAACTTTTCAAAATGATTAATTCAATTTTTTCAAATGAGAAATATTTTAAAGATGTGCATAATCTTGGTAGTTTTCTTTTAATTATAATTAATTTTCAATAATCAAATTCAATATCATCTATATTTTTAGATTAAGTTAATGGAAATTCATCTAAATCTCTACTATTAAAAATCCAATCAACTTTTTCTTCCTCTTTCAAATTATCTTTATTGTAATTGTTTTCTAAGGAGGTTCTTCTAGTTTTTGAGAATTTAGAGATCAGTAATTTTAGTTCTCTAATCTATGAAAAGATTTCTGATTTAACTTCTTTTTATTTCTTGATTTGATATTCCAAATCTTACATTTATGATAATGCATAATATGATCGTTGTTGGGCTAATAATAGAAATTCATCAATAGTTTTCTAATTATTGAGTATTTTTCTATTGTAATTTTCAAGTACTTCATCCATGTCATCTGCTTTAGAATCACCTACTCCTAATTTACTCATAAAATCTTTGATTTATCTAGACTTTTTCAGATCAAACTGTTAATACTTAGCGAGATTTTTTTTAATTTGCTTAAGCTATTCTGAAACTTTGGATAGTCTTAACTTATATTGTTTATTTTTTGTTTCTAAATCTAGAATTTAATTGTCTTAGACAGTAATCTCCATCTAGTCTATATAGATTTCATGTTTTAATTATTTGATCTAATTAATAAGTCCAGTTTTATGTTGAATTAGCTATTGTTTGGATTTATTCATCATCATAATCCTTGTATAATTTTTAAAGGCATATTCTTCATTTTGATCAATTCTCTAATAATTCATCACTTAAATTCGCTTCTCTTCGTTCTCTAATTGTTTTAACTAATATTTTACATTCATACTTTCTCTTTAAGTTATACGATCTTTTATTTCATAGTATAAGACTCTGGATCTAATTTGCTAAGAGGAACAGATGTAAATGAGAAATTAGTATCACTATTAAGAAAGGATAGCTGCTATAATTAATTCTTTTCATAATTTATCTTGCCCTTCAAGTATTGTATATTCTGTATGGCTTAATTGATTTAGATTTAGGTATCAATATTCTGAACCAGAGACTTATCAGAATAATGAGAGATAGATTTATATCTGCTCTCAGGTGAATACAGACTATTGATTTTGGGTCTGCTGAAGTAATACTCTTATTGGGCTAGTTTCATTAATTTATTAATAAAAATTTATATGTTATCCAACGATCGTCAAAATTTTGTAAAGCTTGTTAGAAATCCATAAATAAATGCAATTTAATAGTTAACATAATTAGTTACTTAAGCTGGTCGAACAAAAAGCACTATATAGCCCTCCACCAAAAGAGTAGCTGAAGTATAAAAATGCGAGAAAACTGATAAACAAGAGAAAATTATACATACAACTAGAGAAATCAATTCATAACAATCTCTTAGGAATTATTTCGATAACTCCACTTGTAAAAACAACAAAGAAAACTAACCATCCAAAAAACATTTGTATTAAGAAAATAGATCATAAACTCCTATGGCATAAAAGAGCCCAATTGTGATCAATACTAGAGGAAGAGGATCTGTTAGCCCTTTAAGATGTGTATAATAAAATCAGACATCCAAAAGCCAAAATAAATCAGCATTTAAGTAGCCTGAAGACCCTCAAATTATGGATATGGTTGATAATCTAAAATAAAACATCCTCAGAGATTTATAAGAAGTAACTAAAAGGTATCAATCCAACACTCCAAAACCTGTGGAAATGCTCTAAAAATAAAACCAAAAAATCAAACATATACTAGAATATAAGGAAACTTAGTTAAAAGTTCCTTATTTTGACTATTCCAGTCAAAAGAGCATAAAACACCCAGAAATTTTCTATTCTGAGGAAAACTCATAAATTAAATAATAATTTCTAGAATAATAATCATTAATTTTATAGTAGCAGTTGGAAATTATAAAATAATAATAAGAAGCATTAAGACAATAATAAATATCAGTTTTAAACAGCAAGACAAATTTAAATAGTTTTTATAATCAAATGAAAAAATAACAGAATGAGAGTATTGAGGATATTTATGGGAAATCACAATTTACAATAAGCAACCTATCATCAATTATACCAGTTGAAGTGTCGGCAAATCAAAATAAGAAAATTAATGTCTCCTTTGAAAGTAGTTTGGAATAAAATCCGATTAATTTATAATTAGAAATGGTCTAAGGAAATGATTGTAGAACAACCTTTGGTCCTTCTTAATTGGAGTCTCTAATAAAATCCCCAAAGCAAGTGGAACCAGAATTATTTAGTGAATAACAGGTTATGAAAGAAACTGTGAAATATGTTCAATTAGATAATAGTTAAGGTAAGGTTTCATCGGCAAAAAGATATAGTAATGATGAGTAAGAATTGGTTCAATAATAAGAATTAATTGAATAAGTGCCACCTCCTTCTGCTTTCTCTAATAAGTCGAATAGATATGATTAACTAATGCAAAATTTTTAAAGTCTTCGGAAATTAAGTAGAGAACCTAGTTTTGTAATAGAAACAAAGAAGTCTGTTCAAATGAATGATCTAAACCATATCAGCGATTTTGCTATAATGGGAAGTCAAAGAGAAAGCATTGCCTTATGCCAGACAAAATTAATCACTTTTTAGGAGGTAAATAATAGTCAAGAGGAATGTGTATAATCTCCAACTTCACTTTTAGGTAAGTAATAAGTCTTAACCTTCGAATAAGAGCTTGACTAAAAGTCTCTGTATTCAAATTAATCGCAATTTGATTAAAGATCGATCTAATAATTATTATAAAAATCTAGTTTATCTTAATAATAGGCGTCCTCTTTTTAAAAATAATCGATATCTATATAACAAAGTACTGAATAGACCAACAGAATACTTGAGAGCATTAGATCGAATGAGAGCTTTAAATAAAGAACTGCAAGCTTTACTGAATTTTTAAAAGTAAAAGATGAATTACCAATAAAAATTACAAATGTTTAAAAAATATCCATAAGGCCTGGAATAAGTAATAAGTAATATATAATTTAGGTTTCCTGTAATATAAACAATAAAATAAATATTGATTATTCCCTACTTTATAAAATTATAAATATATATACTTATAATTATTTAGCGTTGATTGATCATTCTAAATATGTCCAAGATATTCTTAAAGTTTTTCAGAATATACTTTTATTGTATTTTTCTTTCTAAAATGAATTTAATTAATTTGTGTTCTTTAATTAAGTAATAAATAATCTGCAATATATTACGTAAGTTTGTATCTGTCATATCAGTGAATTATTGTTTGATAACTCATTTTCGTAATCTACCCCAAAAAAAATTAAATTATTGTAAGAAGATGGGTTCCTGTTCCTCATAAGAAATGAAAAAAACAATGAAAGCCAAACTGCAGGAGGCAAAATAAAAACAATCTTAGACAACAACTCCAAACAGGTCGACAACTTAGCCTTTAGTTGTTAGATCAAACACTAGATCCAATACTCATAATGTCCCTTAGACTGTAGTTGAGTAAGGTTTGACAACAATAAGTCTTCAAAATATAAATTAAACACTAGTTTATAGAAGCACTAACTTCTCAACTTATTATAGTTTGTTGAGAAAGGAAGATAAAGATTTTCCATTTACTACCATCCAGCATAATAATACAGGAATAGTGAGAATTATAAAGTCATATAAACTTACAGATGAAAAATATGTTGCTTCGTTACTCAATTATTAACTTGTAATTATGTTCTTAAATTTAATTAGCATCATCCTAATCTAATTCAATTATATGAAATATATGAAGAACAATAGAAATATCATGTGGCCGAAGAGAATAGCAAAGAGATAGTAATTCTGAATTCAAAAATGTTTATCACTGAACAAGATATTGCATTCATATTCAACCAAATAGTAGAAGCAATTGACTACATTCACCATTAATAACTCACTCATGGCCATCTAACCCTAGATTCATTTGCCCTTTTTGGAGATAAATACATAAAATTATATAACTTGTTCCATCTGTTTATGAAAAAGAAACCATCTTTTGAAGAATCACATTATTTGCCTCCAGAATATTTCGAAAATCAAGAGTATACAGAAGAAAGAGATATTTGGTCTTTAGGAATAATCCTTTACTAATTACTCTATCATACATCTCCTTATGAGTCCAAATCACTTAATAAATTAAGAGTAGAAATCTTAATTTCAGAGATGTAATTTGAATAATCAATATCCAATGAGGCTATCTCATTATTGTAATAATTATTAGATAAAAATCCAAAAAAAAGAATTAAATTAAAGGATATAACAAAGCATCCATGGCTATTGAAATAAGAGGTTTAATTAAGAGAAGAACAAGTTAGAGAAACCCTGCTCAGATTATAAAAATCTAAAAAGTTAAATATGTTATAAGCTTACATCTTGAAGTTTATTATTAATAATTACCCTCCAGATAAACTTCGAGATATTTACTCTGTCTTTAGATCTTTAGATCTTGATAATGATGGGTTTTTTAGTCTCTCAGAACTTTTGGCCTCTTATACAGATTTTGTATCAGATAACGATAAAACCAAATCAGTTTGTGTTAATATATTTAGAAAAGT